CTGGGGTTACTGGTCTATACTGGGGTCTGTACTGGGGGTCCCTGGTCTATACTGGGGTCTGTACTGGGGGTCCCTGGTCTATACTGGGGTCTGTACTGGGGGTCCCTGGTCTATACTGGGGCCTGTACTGGGGTCCTTGGTCTATACTGGGGTCTGTAGTGGGGTCCTTGGCCCATACTGGTCTATACTGGTTTATACTGGTCCCCCCCCGTCCCCCCAGTTCCCCACGAACCTCTTCCGGCTCCGCTGCTCAGGCCCCGCCCCTTCCTTTGCGTCACCGCGCGCTGATTGCTCCACCAGCGGCCGAGGGGCGGAGTCTGCCGGGCGGCCCCGCCCCTCCCGCAGCCGCGCGTTTGCGACCCCTGGCGGCGCCGCAGAGCCGTGGCTTACGGCGGCCCTTAGCAACGGGGGCCATAGCAACGACTGGTCCATAGCAACTAGGCTCCATAGCAACGGGGCCCATAGCAACGGGGCCCGTAGCAACGGCAGGACCATAGCAACCGGGGCTCCATCTCAAGGGGGCCCATAGCAACGGGGCCCATAGCAACGAGGGTGCATAGCAACGGCAGGTCCATAGGAGCAGCAGGACCATAGCAACGGGATCTCCATAGCAACTGGGCCCATAGCAACGGGGCTCCATAGCAACGGGGGTCTCCATAGATACGGGGGGTCCATCGCAACGGGGGTCCATAGCAATGGGAGTCTCCATAGCAACGGGGCCCATAGAAATGGAGTCCGTAGTAACAGTGCTCCATAGCAACGGGACCATCTCCATAGCAATGGGGCCCATAGCAACGCGGTCTCCCTAGCAACGGGGGGGCCCTGGCAACCTGGAGCATCCAGAGGCCCCCCAGCCCCTCCCTGTAGGGGATGTCCCTCCCCTGCCCCCCGAGTTCTGGGGTCCCCTCACTGTCCTCTCCCCCAGGTCCCCCCACGGTGTCCCCCGGTCACATCAGCCCCCCCCGGCAGCCTCAGTCCCTCGAGGGGTGACACAGGGGTGTCACGGGGGTGACACGAGGGGTCGGGCAGTGGGGGCCCCCCACAGCCCCCCCCATCACCCTGGGTCCCCATGGGGGTGGCATTGTCACTGTCCCTCTGCTGTGGGTCCCACAAGGGTGGCAGTGTCCCCATCCCTCCATGCCCTCATGGGCTGGCGGTGTCCCCTTATGTCCCCATGAGGGTGGCAGTGTCCCCGTCCCCCCCCACCCCCCCGTGTCCCCGTGGGGGTGCCATTGTCCCCGTCGCCATCCCTGTCACACACCTGCCACCACCGTCCCTGTCCCCAGCAGGTGCCACCGCGGTGGCCCCGGTGGCCTTTGATCCGTCCCCGTGGGCGGGCGCTGCCTCATCACAGGGACCTGCTAATGAGCCACCGCCTCATCACAGGGACCCACTAATGAGCCACCGCGGGGCCAACGCGGCCCCGGGGCCACCCCCGTGACCCCACGGCCACCCCCGTGTCCCCACGGCCACGTCTGACACCGACTGACCCCAGGGACATCTGGGGGGACACCGGGGGGACACGGGGAGGACACGGGGGTCTGGCAGCCCTTGGGGACAGCAGGGCTCGGTGTCCCCACGGTGGGACACACGTGTGATGTTGGCACCAGCCCGGGGCGAGTCCGGGCAGGGGAAAGTGCTGAGTCTGCGATTTGGGGCCACGTCGGAGCCACCGACACGCAGGGACACATGTGAGGGACCGGGGTGGCAGCGCTGGCACACGCGTGTGGGGCCATGTACACACATGTGGGGCTGTGCACACACATACGGGGGTCATGGACACACATGTGGGGTCATGGACACACA